CTCGCCGGACCAAGAATTGTACACCGCCACTACTTTTAGGTCGGGCGTGACCCCCTACAGGCGGATTTTGGACGAAATAGATCAAAAGTACTCAGAGCAAATTCAAAGTTAGCCTGGCGAAGGACCCAACCATGCGCAGTTGTGAATACCGCAATTCTGAATACCATTTTCGCCCGCGCTCTCTGTTTGGCCACGGCTTCTCACCGGAGCCCGACATGCTCTGGGACACGTTTGTGGCCGTCTTCGCGGGCGCCGACGACGACGAGGACGGCGTCCTTCTGACCGAGGAGCAGAAGCAGGAGAGGGCTCTGAGAGCCATGAGGAGGTGGCGTTGCAAGCCGACAAGGCGGAGTACAACGCCCAGGAGCGGTTGTTGAAGCAGCACAACTATGGGGCCACGATCCTCGTGAAGGGTGTGCCGCAATGGCCCGAGGCCGCCATGCGAACGTTGCCACTGGAGCCTTCGGTGGACCTCCTATGGGGCCACGATCCTCGTGAAGAGTGTGCCGAAATGGCCCGAGGCCACCATGCGAACCTTGCTACTCGGGCCTTCGCAGGAGCTCCCCATGGGGCCACGATCCTCGTGATGGGTGTGCCGAAATGGCCCGAGGCCGCCATGCGAACACTGCCACTGGGGCCTTCGGTGGAGCTCCCTATGGGGCCACGAAACGCTGTACTGGGTGGACGAAACGCAGGGAGGAAGGAGGAGGGGGCAGGGGGAGGAGGGAGGAAGGAGGAACGCGGGGACCGTCTCTTCGAAACGAGGACCCAACACCACAGGATGGCTGTGAAATCGACAAACAAATACCCAAACAAACATCTCCGGACAATTTTTTGCTGTTTTTGGATATCCCTCCTGCAGAGGAACAGGCCCGACTTCAAATCACTTCCCTCCCCCCCTCGGGTGCGCCGGAGCGGGGGGCGAGCGGGCCACAGTCAGGAGTGGCGAGAGAAGAAGAGGGGGGGGCAGGACCCCCAGGGGATGGCATGCGCCCCCAGTCTTGGCGGTGCGCACAAGGGGGTGGAGGGCGGGGGGGGGCTTCTTAGAAGGAGGCTGCTTCTGAGAAGGCGCCGGCCTAACATATACCTATACGATCGCCCTGCGGTTGATAAGGAGATTGGGGGGAGATTGAGATCAAATGCCCACCCTGACTGACCTCCAGCCTGTCACCTTGATCTTATCTCTCTCTCTCTCTCTTTTCTCTTTTGGGTTGGATGGATTGGATTGGGTGGGATAAGATGAGATGGGAAAGGAGGGTTGGATAAGATAAGATGGATTGGATTGGACAAGATGGATTGGATAGGATAAGCTGGATTGAATAAGAAAGCTCGCCGCAGGCGCCGACAAAAATGAATTGATGGATTGGATTGGGTGGATTGGATTGGATGGGATAAGATGGATTGGATCAGATAAGATGAATTGGATTTGAAGAAATGGATTGGACAAGATAAGATGGATTGGATTGGCCTGCCGCAGGCGCAGAAACAAATGAATTGATGGATTGGGTTGGGTGGATTGGATTGGGTGGGATAAGATAAGATGTGACAATATGGGTTGGATATGATATGATGGATTGGATTGGATATAAAAAAAGCTGGATTGGATAAGAAAGCCCCCCACAGGCGCCGGAAAAAATGAATTATGAAATTAGCGAGATTCATTAGCGCCGAGACTTCCGGGACACCCGGGACACCGCCCGGCCCAACTGGGACACCTCCCGGCCACCGGCGGACGGGAAACGAACTTTCGCTCCTACTGACACCCGGGACACCCGGGTGTCAGTAGGAGCGACGCCCCTGGGGGGGGCGACGCCCCTGGGGGGGGGCGACGCGCACATAGTATAAGCAGGTTGGGGTGATGCCGATCTCAGGCAATTTACCCATTTGGCCGATGAGATTCTCCTCTTTCGAGTCCAACGGTCACCGCGATATGAAGAAGAAGAAGAAAAAAAAAAAAAAAAAAAAAAAAACGTCACATACGTAAACTTCTGGCGCTTCGCGCAGATTTCTTAGATCCGCGCTGCGCCAGTGAGGGGAGTCCAGCGCGAACCCAAGAAATCCTGCGAAGTGCCTATGTGTATGTGGTTTCTCTTCTTCTAGATATGGCAGGCGTGCCCACCGGTTGGAATAAGTAGGTGGAAACATGAATTAGGAAGGCGTTGGAAGTAGATAGGACTCCGTTCGCCCCCTAGGGAGGAAAGAGAAGGCGAAGCCACTGGATCATTGAAGTAGGAAGGCGCTTGAAGTAGATTGGAAGCTGGGAATCCAAAAGTACCTACTTTCCAACGACCGATGGGTAACCATCAGGCACCCCCAAGGAGGAGCCGCCAGTGCGTAGGCCTCAGGACACCCGCTCGTTCGAGCCCGAACTGTGGCGATGGCTCAGAGGGCTCCTTCCCCGTTTGGCGGATCTGACTCCCCTCTTGGGAGCCCCACGATCGCCGCGGCATGGCAGGCGTGCGTGGCCCCTCGGGCACCCCAGGAAGGAACCGCCAGGGACTGAGACACCCGCCTGGGGAATAAGACACCGCTCAAGTCGTGGGGGCGCCTCGGTGTGGTTTTCCTCGTCTTGCGGGTCGGACTCCTGCCCTCTTGCAAGCCTCGCGACCACCGCGATATGCCGTGCGTGGCACTTTGGGCACCCCGTGTAGGCGAGGGGGGGGGAGGAGGAGGAGGAGGAGGAGGAGGAGGAGGAGGGAGGAGGAGGAGGAGGAGGAGGAGGAGGAGGAGGAGGAGGAGGAGGAGGACGAGGGAGGAGGACGAGGGAGGAGGACGAGGGAGGAGGAGGAGGAGGGGAGGAGGAGGACGAGGGAGGAGGAGGAGGAGGAGGAGGAGGAGGAGGAGGAGGAGGAGGAGGAGTAGGAGGGAGGAGGCGAGAGGAGGAGGGAGAAGGAGGGATATCGCAAGCGGTTCATTCGTTTGGCGGCTCCGCAGCTCCCTCGTTCCTTCTCCTGCCTTCTCGCCTGCTTCCCCCTGCTTGCATGCAGATCCAAACAGGCACACGGCGAAGTCATACACTGACTCGCGCACGCAGACCATTCCCACACTGCTCGCTCACAGTCAGACTCACTCACAGCAGTACTCGTTACTCGCTTTCCCCGTGCTCAGGCCACTCGCACTCAGGTTCACTGAAGACTCGCACTCAGACGCTCACAGCGGTACGTGCCAGGAAATGATATATACACGTGGGGATGGATCTCTGCGTCGAACACTTTGTTCCCAACCATCCTGTGGTGTTGGGTCCTCGTTTTGAAGAGACGGTGCCCGCGTCCTCTCCTCTCCTCCTCTTCCCCCTCCTCCCTCCTCCCCCTCCTTGCCTCTGCTCTCGGCACACCTCTCACGCGTTTCGTAGCCCCATAGGGAGCTCCACCGAAGGCCCCAGTGGGGGTGTTCGCATGCGGTTCCCCCACCCAGGGCAGCGTTTCGTGGCCCCATAGGGAGCTCCACCGAAGGCCCCAGTGGGGGTGTTCGCATGCGGTTCCCCCACCCAGGGCAGCGTTTCGTGGCCCCCGAAGGCCCCAGTAGCGGTTTCGTGGCCCCATAGGGAGCTCCACCGAAGGCCCCAGTGGGGGTGTTCGCATGCGGTTCCCCCACCCAGGGCAGCGTTTCGTAGCCCCATAGGGAGCTCCACCGAAGGCCCCAGTGGGGGTGTTCGCATGCGGTTCCCCCACCCAGGGCAGCGTTTCGTGGCCCCATAGGGAGCTCCACCGAAGGCCCCAGTGGGGGTGTTCGCATGCGGTTCCCCCACCCAGGGCAGCGTTTCGTGGCCCCATAGGGAGCTCCACCGAAGGCCCCAGTGGGGGTGTTCGCATGCGGTTCCCCCACCCAGGGCAGCGTTTCGTAGCCCCATAGGGAGCTCCACCGAAGGCCCCAGTGGGGGTGTTCGCATGCGGTTCCCCCACCCAGGGCAGCGTTTCGTGGCCCCATAGGGAGCTCCACCGAAGGCCCCAGTGGGGGTGTTCGCATGCGGTTCCCCCACCCAGGGCAGCGCTTCGTGGCCCCATGGGGAGCTCCACCGAAAGCCCCCGTGGCGCAGTTCGCATGCGCTTCCCCCACCCAGGGCAGCGTTTCGTGGCACCATAGGGAGCTCCACCGAAGGCCCCAGTGGGGGTGTTCGCATGCGGTTCCCCCACCCAGGGCAGCGTTTCGTGGCCCCATAGGGAGCTCCACCGAAGGCCCCAGTGGGGGTGTTCGCATGCGGTTCCCCCACCCAGGGCAGCGTTTCGTGGCCCCATAGGGAGCTCCACCGAAGGCCCCAGTGGCTGCTCTCGCATGCGGTTCCCCCACCCAGGGCAGCGTTTCGTGGCCCCATAGGGAGCTCCACCGAAGGCCCCAGTGGGGGTGTTCGCATGCGGTTCCCCCACCCAGGGCAGCGTTTCGTGCCCCATGGGAGCTCCACCGAAGGCCCCAGTGGCTGTTCGCATGCGGTTCCCCCACCCAGGGCAGCGTTTCGTGGCCCCATAGGGAGCTCCACCGAAGGCCCCAGTGGCGCAGTTCGCATGCGGTTCCCCCACCCAGGGCAGCGTTTCGTAGCCCCATAGGGAGCTCCACCGAAGGCCCGCCCCGGTGGCGCAGTCCGCATGCGGTTCCCCCTATCCAAGGCAGCGCTTCGTGGCCCCATATGGAGCCCCACCGAAAGCGGCACCCACAACGCGTTACCAACAATTGCTTATGGTTGGGTCTTTCGCCAGGATAATTTTTCGGCGTAATGGCCGACAGGGCCCCCCACCCCCCGCCTGATGACTGACGTAACGCGCGGGAACGGCGGGGTATGGGAACGACTACGGATACCAATAACGAGCTACATGATGGGTATGAAAAGATGTGCGAAGGGTATCTCGGCTTGAAGGCGGCCGAGGGGTCTGAACTGGTTGGGACCCCAGAAAATCGGTCAGAAGGGAGGGGTGATGCCAGATCCTGCCATAATCGGCCCTGGAACCCTCCTGGGGTCCATCTGGTGCAGTCTTTCACCAGGGACACCCTCCCGGGGCCCGAAAACG